TAATGAATACGATATATATGCAATAAAAAGCTTCCTTCCCTCTCGTATCAATTTGAAATTATCTATGTGTGTGTGTTTGCTTGTGTGTGCAACATGCAAATGCATGCCAATTCAAATATAAAGATTAAAAAATTGAATGAATTAAATGCCATAAAGAATCCATTAGTTAGTTTCTTTTCATGCATTAGTATGCTTAAAACACACACACACACACACAAACTCTCTCTCTTTCTCTCTCTCTCTCACACACACACACATACAAGCATGCATGTTCTTAGATTGAGCTGAATAGGAACGAAGCATTTCAGTCTTCCATACGTACATCCCTGTCTGCTAAATGGCATGACACTCCTTAATCACAGGGTGTCTAATGAGATATGTCAACCTGAGCGTCATGTTGATATCAACCGACGACTATTGGGTCGTATTCTAGTGAGATTGTCCTACAAAACCCACTTGTTAACAATTAAGATTTTAATGGGTGTTTCTTGTGGTCGATCAATTGAGCCAGTAGATGATGTGCTCACGATGACTTTGGAAGAAGGATTAGCTCTGAACACGAATCTTACCCTAGCCTCAATCATAAATCTGTGTTATAATGCAGGACGGCTTAATCTTGATTTCGGTTTGGATAAAACAAGATAGTGGGCTTGGCTTTAACTTCATGTGGAAGTACTTAATGATTATCCCCCCTGCACCAGTTTATCAGGCCTTTAGATCGAGTCAATATATCGCGGTTCAGGTGAGAAGTTGTGGTTAAACTGAGCTTCAGTCCTGCTTATGTCTGTAAAGTGGCATGATAAACGAAAGTCCCACTCGCAGTCATCAGAACAGGAAGAGGATGTTTTGGGGACTGTATCTAGGCCTAAGAAAACTGCAGTAGACCAAGAAGAATCCTTCATTATATTCAGGAATTATTTCACCTCGAACTATTTCTCAAAATATAAGTCTGCTCAGCAATTAGAAATCAGAAATTCTTCATCAATACGGGCTTAGTTTTACTGTATTATGCATAGATTGACTAACATCCTAACACCAGTTGCTTGCTTGTGTGCCTTCGTTTAAAAAAAGATTTTATGGCAACTCTGAAGTCGAATTAATTAATTATAGCAAGGAGTGTTTGGCATTCGATCGGCTCGGAAATCTAAGACAGTTTTGTATTGTTGCAATTGACAAAATAACCTAAACTTGTCGGTATCAATCAAATTAATTCAAGGTGTTCTGACGTTGTATTCTCAATTTCATAGTGCTGTCAGGGAAACTTTGTTAGACGAACCTTGTCCGATGTCTTCTGCTATAATACCTATCATAACTCCCAACGTCGGATCGTGAATTTGATATATTCCCAGACTCTTGGCCGGCATCATCAGTGAGTCCCGCCATTCTCAACATCAAGCTGCAATTCGTTAAAGGGACGAGAGAAGTAAATCTTCCCAATGGTCATGCAGTCCTGATGTCTACCCCCCACCTTCTTATCTCACTTCCCCCTAATCAAAACTTCTCACCTGTTCATATTCCATTCTCAAAAGGTGTGCCCTTTTGCTGAGTTTTGTGTGGCGTCATGACAATTGTTGTTCTTTTTGCCTACTCCCTTTCGATTGGCAGATCCGACTCTAGCCTCCTATCCGGATCTGCCTCATGGGGTCGTAGATCCGTTTCTTATCTTTCCGGTTGACTGATTTCACTCGGTTCCAGTCCCAGTGTACGTTCTGCTTCAGGTGCTAATTCTCAGGCCCTCCGTAGCACGTACATTGCCCCCACACTGAGCAGAGGGCAGAGTCTCTGATTCTCATTCTTGCCAGATAGGACAGGAAGCCAGAATCGGATCCGCCAATCGAAAGGGAGGGGGGCAAGGAGAACAACAAGTGTGATAACGCCACAAAAAATTCGGCAGAAGGGCACACCGGAGGTCCAACACCGTGGCGATGGCAACCGAATGATACCTCCTCACGTCACCCAATCTATTGCCCATTCAGTACTTTTACTCGCTCCTCTCAAGTGTCATATGGCCTGCCTACTTCAGTTGTCAGCGCAGGCTACTGAGACCAAGCCCACTCTTTCAAACTGTATCCCTTTTCCCATCTGGTTTCCACTCGCACTCCGATAACCTAAACTCAGACCTGATTTATGCCCTCCGCCTCTGGCCTCGAAACCAGATCAACTGTTCTGCACCAATCAGAATTAAACCTCTACATCGACGAACCATTTCCCTTCCAGTGAAGCCGTCTGCTGGCATCTCGTTCACCGGCGTCTAACTCCATTCACATATTCACGCTTCTTTTTCAGCATTCTGCCTCAACGATTCGTCCATTGAAGGTCCTCACCTTTGTTTCTTCGGCTACTCGAAGATCCCAGTTACAACGCGGCTACCTGCACCAGAAGAAAGAATCTCTTCACCTGCGTCATTGCAAAGCCGATTGGATCTATGCGTTTAGGAAGACCGTATTCGGCCAGCCACCAGACTACAACAAAGTGCCCTAACGACCGTGCCGTTAAGACGACCATAAATAGCCATTTTTATGGACCTACTTTGAATCAACGCTAAGGCTCTGCATTGCGTCTTTCTGCAGAACTGAGCGTGGCACCATTTCCGCAAGACAACGCTATCCAGCCCACCGACTTGATATCAGTTTTCTCATCCTTCACTCTTCTGATGCTGTGCGCCTACAAACAAGCCTATCTACGCAATATGACTTGTTTACCAAAAATCTATGGTTCATTTCCCCATCCTGTTTCAGGAACTGAATCATGCTTTAAGATGGCTACGGTTACAGAAAATTTATAATTATCCTATATCTGTGCTAAAATGAACTGTCTCCCTGACATTCTCATGGTAACAAGACATCTTTATCACATTAATGTGTAGGTATAGTCATGAGAGGCTAATTACTCTAAAAATACAAAATTCAAAATTGGATCTCATTTGGTTGGTGAACCAATTAAAGAAGGCATTCCGAACCCAAATTTATGGTCTGAAAGAGCAATCCACATTTTCACTTTGAATTAGGGCAGTCAAAAAATATTAGCTAAAATAAAAAGTAGTATAACTGCAAGTATCTACGTAAGTACATCTACATCTTGTGTAGAACCATAGCCACGACAAGAGTGCGCTACACCCACCACAAGTCTATGTCTCTGAAGCCTCAGAATGCTTTGAACCCATTATGTTTAGGTCTGTTAGTCTGCACCTCCTTGTGTTGGACTATGGTCAATAAAATTAAGAGTTACCACACATGTTAGGAAAGGAGTGAGACACTGTCCTTTTCTCGCAGTTGATCAGTCGGTTGCAGAAATTGGTAATTTCACAGGGCACTATTTTCCAGAAATGGTGACCTCGAAGCAGCGGGATAAAGGAACGGCTCAACACAGCCATCTGCGATTATCTAAGCTCGAGGCATTAGCACAAATTATAAGGATTTCACAACCATTAATTTTTAATTTACAGCGTGTGTGTGCGCATGTGTGTGTATGTGTATATGTGAAAAATATAAAGCCTGCCCACTGAGTTGAGGTAAGTATGTTCACATCGCGCGGCAAAATCTCGATGAAGTGCTGCAGGACTCGATGCAAGGTACCACACTCCTGGGCAACGAAGCCAAGCCCACGGTATTTCAGGCCGCGTTTGTCACGAAACACATCGGAGAGCATCAGCCGTACGTCGTGCTCCAGCGCCAATCGACGCAGCTTCGGATTGGCTGTCAGATACGAGAGTGCTTTGTGTAGGAAATGCGGATCGCCGGCTGTTCAAAGAGTGAAGATTTTTAAAAGATAATAAGAGACTGAAGTAAAATGTTGAAGGATTGCACATGAAAGACTTTTCAAGCTTTTGGTAAAATAATAAAACTCAGCAAACATGAATATAAAATAGTTTTCAGAGAAAACCCAAACGTATTGTAGAATAACTCGGAGAATAGCACCAAATATTGTTGATAGACGACAAAGTAATGTACACAAAATTATTACAGGCTTTATATATATAAGATCTGTCTATGGACCTTACAGAAACTTGGAAGGCTAGACCCGAGGCTTATCAAGAACAATGTGTTGCATATGAGTGAGTGTAATGGTTGAAAATGAATACACTTCTTCAACGAGACATTAGGCCCCAGAAGAGTATTGCCTGCCCAAATTA